TAATATTTTAGTAGATGGATATCTCAAATAATGTAGAAACTCATCTAAGAATTTCTTCATAAAAAATCTCATGAAAATGTTTCTCCACATATCCACTCATTAAATTATTATTAAAAAAAATTGGTCAAACTTAGAACCCATGGTAGAAACCCACCATTGAGGATGCTCAGAGACCATCTCTATCAATAGTCTCTCAATGGATATCTCAAACAAGAGTAAAATATTAATAATGTTAAAATATTAGGAAAGTCTCAAAAATTCAAAAATTCACAGTAGAAACTCTCAATTGAGAGCAACACCAAAATCTCTTAATTTTGAGAGACCCATATAATACTTATCTATATTATACAAAAGTTGAGGGTATAAGCTCCTAAAGGCGTCTACATAAGATTTAAATCAACTTATAGTATCATGCCATGTAAGTATTCATAAATAAAATGGAAAATTAACCAAAAAAATGTCTACAAAAAAAGTAAGGAAAGTATATATTAACAAAATAAGAAAGAATTAAAAAAGAAATTGTTTAACTAAAATAATAACTAAAACTTAATAATATTCCATATTAGGTTATTTCATTTTCATTGATAATAGAAAACTAAAACTTAATTTCCTTATTTCATACCTTATTACCTCAAACATTTCCTGTTTTTTCTTGGTTCTTTAGATATCGACTTTTCTTTATTTTATTTTTACATTATGATGTTCCATATATGTTACATTATGATGTTTCAAACATCCAATTACAATAGGAAATTAAGTTATGATATGTAAATTCTAACTTAATTTTCGTTATTCTATATGTTTTGGGCCATAGCCTGCAAGTTATTGTCAGTTGTTAGGAACCCAAATCACTTATCATATAAATAATTTTTGGTTAGCTTTTTTTTTTTCTTCATTCGACATCGCCGCATTAAGATTCTTTGGTAAGATTCCTAAATGTTTTGTTTGTTTTAGATAAGAATATTTGCATATCCTATAAATATCGTCGGTTCTTTCTTTGTTTAAGTGATGTTGTTTGTTTGGTTAATTGAATTGCAAAGAAGTTTTGTTGGTACAAAGTATATTTCAAAGCTTATTCGAAGAGAACAAGAAGCTCTATCATAAAAATAGTATGGTTTTTAATAG